AGTGCAAAACCATGTAGCACACCTAGAACCAAGAAAAATCACAACTTGAGTGAGAAAAATATTCAACAGATTCCAACTCTGAAATACCAGATATAACACAGACGTTGGAATTTCCTAACAAGAATTTTGAAGCAGCCATCCTAAAAATACCTCAAGGAGCAATTACAAATATGCCTAAAACAAATGGGGGTCAGAGGAAGAAGAAATTTTCAACAAAGAAGATAGTATATAGAACCACCAAATGAAAACTGAAGAATGTAACTGGAATAAAAAATTCAGTGATGGATTCAATGGCAGACTAGACTGTGTCATTGGTATGTCAGTCAAGGTTCAGAGAAGAACTCATATCTATTAGGACCCATGTATAGCAAGGGGTTTATTTTGGGGATCTGGCCTTATGTAAGTGGAAAGCCAATTAAATGGTCTGTGAAGCTGTCGTGCTTGGCCTGCTTCTGGAACCCAAAGTTCTCAGAGTAGGCAGTAAGGGAAGAAATCCAGAACTCTTATGACAGATGCTTGTGCTGGTCTTTTACTGCCTCCATCTTGGATGATGAGGGCACCCTGCCAGAGAAGCTTGTGCTTTTTTTTTTTTTGTTGTTGGTACCTGGGATTGAACTCGGGATCTTACAATGGTGAGGCAGGCAGTGGTACCACTGAGCTAAATCCCTGGCCCAAGCTTGTGCTTTTATCGTAGACTTGAACATAAGCTTGGCCTAGGAGTTAAAGAAGTTGAGGGAGGATCTGCCCAGAGCTGAAAAAACTGGGGGCCGACCAGGTGGGCTAGCAAGTAAACAACAATGTGAATAGGCTGAAATAGTGCCTTGTTCCTTGACCCAGACTTTTGGCATAAAGAAAAATAGCTGATATTCCACATCCACTTCCTTATCTCATGCGAAATACCGCAGTGGCTCCAGCTAATCTTAAACAGTGCAGAGAAGACACTTCTGGGAAATAGTTTCAAGTTAGCTAAACCTACACTGTACAAATCTACCATGTCTGGCCTTTTTTCAATTCTACCTAATAAGTAAGAAAGAAATATCATCAATACTAGAAAATAAGGAGTAAACATTTTCCACCTTATTTTGAGGCCAGTGTAACACTGATACAAAAAAAACCTGATACATCAAAAAAATATCTCAAGAGAAGCATTAATTTTAACAAATAATCCTAATGAAAACAAGTAAATGAAATCTAGCAATGCATAAAAAAAGTTAATTCATCAAGTGAGGTTTACCTGAGGAATGCATTTTAGTTCAATATAAAAAAAGTTACATAATATTTAATAATAGGTAAAAGTGACCTATAGTGATACAAATCAAAAGATAGTTAATTAAAAAAATAGTTGCATGTGGAAAGAAGGAAGGTAATAAATTGATTAGAAAGGGACACAAGCAAACTTTCTGGAGTAATGGATATGTTCTAGATCTCAGTTTGGGCAGTGGTTTTTAAAGTGTGTACTGTAATTGCCAAAACTCATCAAACTGAATTCTTGAGATCTGTACCCTTCACTATATATTAAACTCAGTGCTTGCTATATATTATCTCAGTGCTGTTGTTTACATTAATTAATTTGGGCTGGGGATTTAACTCAGTGGTTTTGCTGCCTGCCTTGCAAGCAAGTTCAATCCCTGGTATGCCCCCCAAAAAAATTTATTAATCCCTCCAAAATTCATATGTTGGAACTTAACCCCCAAGATGATAGTAGTAAGAGGCAGGACCTTTGGGAAAATTATTAAATCATAGAGGCTCCATCCTTGTAAATTTTTTTAAAGGATAAGAGGTTTATTTTGGCTCACATTTTGAAAGTTTCAGTCCTTTCATGGTTAGCAGCATAGGGGAAGGGCCTAGGTGGAAGAAAGTTGCTCACTTCATGGTATACAGGAAGCAGAGAGAGCAAAGGGTGGAGCCAGGGAGGAAGATACCTACAGGTCATGCCCCAGGACTGCTTCTTCCTACCACATCCCACCTCCTAGTGCCAAGCCAGCTGTATCTTCTTCCCATCTGAATACTTTGTACAAGCCCTTCCTCTGTGCACATGAAGCTTGAGGGGCACCAAGATATAAACCATAACACTTCACCTCTGATCCCCCCAGAAGACTCATGTATATGTCTTTATACAAAGTCCATGTCCAAGGGTAGCCAGTCTTAATAGCTGTAGCATTACTGAAAAGTCCAAACCCAAAGACTCCTCTGAGACTTAAGGCAAACTCTTAGCTGTAAACTCCTGTAAAATTAAAAAGAAAGTTAAACTGCCAACATACAATGGCACAAGGTAAATATTCCCATTCCAAAGGGAGAAACATGGGGATAGAAAGGAATGGGAGCAAAGCAAGACAACAGGGCAAACATTGCCAGTGGGGCAAACAAATCATGTAACTGAGGGAAGTTGTTGCAAGATGCAAACTCTAAGTGGCTTGGGCAGCTCCACCGCTATGCCATTGCCAGTTGCAATCCTACTGGCCTCTCTCTTGGACTGGCTCGCTGCCTTCAAACTTCTTCAAATGTTCTATGTTACTGTCTTCTCCAACTTCTTGTGGTCTCCACTGAAGTTTTGGCTTCACCCTCACAGCTTTACACACTGCCCTCTCAGGGACACTCTGATTGGCCTCCAGGTCTTCTGCAATCTGAGTGGAAGCCTCTGTGACCCCACAAGCATGCCTACTAAATCAGCACAGCATGGATGATGCCAGGGTCTGCCACCAGATCCAGTAGTAACCAGGCTCTTTTGCATCATGCCTGAAGACCCTTAGTATGCCTTGATGGCTAAGTATCATGAATTGAATCCTGGGAAACCACTTCCTTTGTGAGCCCTTCTGGAGCATAGTGCCTCAGTATTCTCTTCTCAAATGAAAGCTATACAGCTTTGCATCCTTGACCCTATGGGTGGATTCCTCACATGTCCTCAAATCACTTTTCCTATTGTCCTGATCCAAAATACTTTTTTAAAATGTTAATTTTTTTTTTTTTTTTTTTTTGGTACCAGGGATTGAACTCAGGTCCTTGTACTTGTGAGGCAGGCAGTGGAACCATTGAGCTAAATCCCCAGCCCAAAACGCTAATCTTTTTAGTAACCAAGCTCTCCTTTTCTCTGACTTTGCAGGTGGTTTCTTTCTGGAAAAACTGAAAACTTTTTAAAAGGGCTTTCACTTCTGTTTCTCACAATACATCTCTCTAAAAGCCGCAAGTAGTACCCATGCCACAGCCTGAACATTGGACTTCCTTGACATTTCTTCTGCCAGATAATTCTGCCACCCTTGATCTCTGTCTCCCAATAAGTCTCAGGACATGAGAAAAATATAGAAGGATTTTCTGCCAGACCATAACTCATATGACTTGGAACGAAGAATCCAACTGCCAATGGGCTCCTCATTCTCAAAAACTTCTGAGACTGGCCTTTCCATCTGCCTTTTTATTAGCACTCTGTTCATCTAAGTTCTAACTAGAACCTCCCATCAAGTTTGGCTTACAGCACTGTAGGTTTTCTCTAGCCAGCATCTCCAAATCTTTCCAAACTCCTCCTCTGAACCAGTTCCAAAGCTTCAGAACCACATGATTAGGTAGTATCACAGCAATAAGCTGGTACCAAAATCTGTCTTAGTCACTTTCATGTTGCTGAGACACCATACCCAATACTTGCAATTTAAAAAAGGGTTTATTTTGACTCACAGTTTGTAGAGGTTTCAGTCCACATTTGACAGCTCCAAGCCAGAAATGACATGGGGAAGGGCCTGGGGAAAGCTGCTCACCTCATGTGGGCAGAAAGCCTGTAAGTTCTGGCACAGGCTGAGCAACTTGGGGATTTAGCAAGACCCTGTCTCAAAAATTAAAAAAAAAAAATACTGGGGATGTAGCTTCGTGCATAGACCCTGGGTTCAATACCGAGTACTGCATTAATTAATTAATTAAATTTTTGTTCTTTACCCATTAGTATTATATGGTTTCACTCAGCACATATTTTTTAATATATATTTAACCCATCCACAATTTGTCTCTAGTCTTGTACTTTGCTGGTACCACGTCTCCATCTAGAAAAACACATATGATAAAGATCAATCATGGATGTCCTCCTCGTAGGCCAGCCTCTTTAGGCAAGATGTCAAAATCCTGACTGGTATTGCCAGCACTGCCCAAGCTGGCTGCTACATGTCTTCATGACACTGAATTTATAACCCATTTGTGTAGCTTGTCTTTTTGTCTTAGGACCTAACCCTGATGCTATCCTTTCTTGTCATGTTTCATTCCTGTTATTGTAGGGTGGAGAATGTGGGAGCCTTGAGTGGAGTGCTAAAATGGCCACACAGAAGCAGATTTTGGATGTTGGTGGCAGTGGTGATGGTCCTGGTATTCAGGATAGAGGGAGGGATTGCTTCCCAGGGTACACCTGGGCTGACTACCCGTGCAGTACTATCACACTTCCTATTGCGTTCCATTGTTTAACCTGCTTCTCACTGGAGGCCATTTTACTTTTGGTTTCTTCATTGTGAATAAGCCAACAAGTTCCAAAGTGATATCTCTCTCCAAACTAACTGTACTTCCTCCTGCCCCTGACTAGCAAATGTTGGGATGGGGTAACAAAGTGTAGCAGTTTAGCTCTCAAGAAGTGTTTGCCTGTGTTTAGGTATGCTACGGTGGGAGCTGGACAGGTTTAGGGACCAAAGGGTCTGAAGCAGGAAGAACTGGGAAATTAACTTGTTCTCTTTCCCTTCCTCGCCTTCATCCTCCAGTTTGCCCCAAAAACTGCCAGAATGATAAAGAAGACATGAACAATTTATTCCATACCACCCAAGCTATAGGAAAAAACAAGGAAGAGGAACACAAAAGTGGCCCCAAATCCTCCCTTTCTCATTTCTCACAATGAGAGCCAATCTGTTCAAGGGTTGTGGGTGAGGATGTGGAGAGAGATTTAGAAGAATGCACAGCACTTGATGATAGAGACAGGTCCTTCTGCTCAGATCCAGAATGATGGAGGTCTGAGGTAGAATGCTGACTGTGAGATTCTTTCACTGAGCTGGAAATGATGGACAGGACAGGCTGCCAAAGGGACTTTGCAGTGGATTCCAGATATTTTTATAGTTGAAGTAGCAAAGGACCGCTGGGAAAGGACAGGGGGTGGGGAGGGGAAAGTGAAGAGTGGGATGGAGTGTGACAAGCAAGGTGAGGCCAAGGGAATATAAATCCCTAAGAACCCGACCCTTCCCTCCACACCTTCTCTGCCCTGACCCACCCATACTCCCTCCTTTCCCAGGGCTCTGCTGGCCACTCACCACAAGTGACATATAGGAGTAATACCAACCAACCAATAAAATAGCTCCAGCTGATGGGAATGGATATATTCTTCTTTAACTCAAAGATCCAGAGGTCAATAGGGAACAACAGGAGGGTGAAGAAAACCAAGCTGGCTGGGTGACAGGAAGTGGAGAAGTATTTTCATCAAAGAATCCCAGAGGGGACTCTTCCTTGTCTGCTGAACTCAAAACCACCAACCCATGACCACCCAGAGTCCACAGCCTCAGACGCTCATGGGAATCAATCTCTATACCTTTATCCCTCCAGTGACCAGGAAATAATGTAACTCAACTCGCAGTTGTCTTCTAAGACCTCAAAACCCCCTTACCACCCCTAAAGAAGAAGGAGGAGTGCCCTGGAAGACACAGGTTAGTAAAACTAAAGACCTTTTTCAGGGCTGGGGCAGGAAGTACCTTCACAGAAGCTCAAGATGGTCCCAAGCAAGCGAAAGAAGGCCAGTTTCCTCAGTTGGGGCAGGTAAGACAGGTGCAACCAAATGGTGAGGACAAGGCCCAACTCCAGCGCCAGGGAAAAGCTAATCTTGGCCACTCCAAAGATGGGCTGGTTTTTCCACATCTTAAACCTGTCTGGAGAAAATGACAAGACAGCATGAGCTCACAAGTCACAAAAGACCAAATATAGTCAAATGAGCAAATGTGAGAAAATGTTCAGGCCCACTTATAGCCAAAGAAATGCACATTTGAAATAGTCATAAAATAATTCCTTCACTTATTAAATAAGCCAAGATTTTCGATATGTACATTGCTTGATAATTCCTTTACTTTTTTTTTTTTCTGTTACTGAGAATTGAACTCAGATCCTTGTGCTTGCCAGGTAGGTGTGGACTGCTTGATAATTTCAACCATACTAAAATTAACAGCTCAATAGAAAACATGGACGTGGGCTGGGGATGTAGCTCAGTGGTGCCATGCCCACCTGGCAAGTGCAAGGTCCTAAGCTCAATTCCATATACCAAAAACATTGACAGAGGACTTGAACTACAGTATCAAAAGAAGAAATACAAATACCAGGGCTGGGGATGTAGCCCAGTGGAAAGTCCCCAAATTCATTTCCAAGTACCAAAAAACAAAATCTATAAATATATGAAGCTCAACACAAAAGACTGCAAATTACAGGTATTTTTTTAAAATACTGAATTAATTGAAAATAAAAATAAAAATAAAATTGAGAGTATCCAATAGAGGAGAATATTTGGAGAAAAGAGGCACTTTCATCTACTGCTGGTGGGCAACATCTCTGGTGAGTAGTCTGGCACAAAATACCAAAAAAAAAAAAAAAAAAGTCTATGCATACCTGTAATCCCATTACTATGGAGGCTGAGGCAGGAGGACCACCAAGAGTTCAAGGCCATCCTAGGCTACATGGCAAGATCCTGTCTCACACAAAACAAAATAAAACAAAACAAAAACCTAAGTTATTAAGGTTCTTTGATCCATCCATGCTTCTTTTAAGTATTTATGTTAGGGAAATAAAAATCTAGGTACAGGAATTTTCGTTGACAAGATATTAAGATGTCCAACAAACTCATGGATTTTCAAGATTTTTGAAAAATAAAATCTAGCATACCCATGCACTGGATCTTCATGTTTATTAAAAATCATAATATGAGCTCATGGTAGAGTACTTGCTGATTTATAATTTAGAAATAAATATATATACAGAGAGAAGTAAATTCACCATCAGATGGTCATGGTCCATCCTATATGTGATTATATCTGTGATGAAATTTTAGGTGATTTTTATTTTCTTTGTTAAATTTTCTGCATGTCCCATAAATAACTGGCACTGTTTTTAATCAGAAAAGTTACGTATTCAAGTTAACAGTCATGGCTGGCAAAGACAGTGAAACAAGTGTCCTAACGCATTATTAGTAAAAGCATAAATTTCTGTGCAAGTTGAACATTCTTTTTTTCCAGTACCAGGAATCGAAATAAGGACCTTGTGCTTTCCAGGTAGGTGTGGCACCACTGAGCTAAGTCCCCAGCCCCGAGCATGCTTTATTTGAAGTTTTGAAACCTGAAATTTTCCAAAATTTGAAACTTCAAGTGCTGACATACCAGCAGTGGAAAATTTCACCTTAATAGCATGTGATGGGTCACAGTCAACATTGCAGGCATATTTTAAATGTTACATAAAATTACCACTAGGAAAAAAAAAAAAACACCACCAGGCTATATGTGTAAAAGTATATATGAAACAGAAATGAATTTTATGTTTAGACTTGGGCCCCATCCTCAAAAATATCTCATTACATATATTAAAATATCTCCAGATCTTAAAAATTCCAAAACAGAAACACTTCTAGAGTGAGCATTTTGAATAAAGTATACAAAACCTATAATAGTTTTTGTAAGCAATATGGAAAGTTTTACTAAAGGCCTTAAGATATTTTGGCCAGGTGTGGTAGCATGTACTGTAGTCCCAGCACTTGGGAGGCTGAGGCAGGAGGATTGCTGTGAGTCTGAGGACAACCTGAGATACATAGTGAGTTCAAAGCCAGCCTGAACTACACAGTGAGACCCTGTCTCAAAAAATATATATATTTATACTCTTTGATACTGTAAATACAGGAAAAAACAATTACTAAAATTTGTTCGTACTCTTTTTTTTTTTTAGACAGAATGTCATTATTTGGCCCAGGCTGGTGTCAAAATAACAATCTTTCTGCTCCAGCCTTCTGAGTGCTGGGATTATAGGTGTGCACAACCACACCTGGCTCTCTTTTTTTCTTTTCCCTTTCTCTCTTTCCCTTTCTTTCTTCCTTCCTAGCTACCATTATTCTTTCTCAGTGCTGACAATGGTATACCAGGCCTCACCCTTGCTAGGCAAGCACTCTATCACTGAGTCCACTCTTTTTTCTTTTTTTCTTTTGGATACAGAATTTTACTATTTGGTTCAGGTTGGCCTTGAACTCACTGTGTAGCCCAGGCTGGCCTGGAACTTGTGATGATCTTCTGGCCTCAGCCTCCCAAGTTGCTGGGATTATAGGTATGCATCTCCACACCCAGCTTCATGCCCCCACTTTTTTCCATATACGAAATTGGAAATAGCTGAATATGGTAGTACATGCCTGAAATTCTAGTGCTCTGGAAGGCTGAGGCAAGAGGATCAAAATTTCAAATTCAGCCTGGGCAATTTAGCAATTTAGCCAAACTCTATCTCAAAGTTTAAAAAAAAAAATTTTTTTTTTAAGGTCTGGGAGATGTAGCTCAGTGCAAAGACCTTGGATTTAATCCCCAATACCGCACACAAAAAAGGAAGTGGATAAATAGAAATGGGTGTTCAAAGCTCTAATTTTCTCTGAACTGAGAAAAGAGGTTCAGGTCCTAAGGGGTGAGAGGACAGCATTTGAGACTCAAAAGAGTGAACAATGAAACATTTGCAAGAGTTCAGGGAAGGAAGGATCAAGGAAGAAGATACAGAAAAATAGAAAGTCCTCAGATCCTAGAGCTGGCCCAGAGAGGCAAGGCTTGGGCAGAAGCAAAGGAAAGTGGCTGGCATCCTAGACTGGAGAAAATGTCTCAGGGTGTATCAGAGAGGAAGGAGAGCCCCACCGACCCAGGTCCTTCCCCAAGGAGAGTGAATGTTGTTCAGAGAATGAGTCGGAGTCTGAGTCCACACCCTCACGACATCTTTTTGTTTGTCTGGTTTGTTGGTTGGTAGCAGGGATTGAACTTGGGACCTTGTACTTGCAAGGCAGGCAGAGGCACCAATGAACTAAATCCCCAGCCCCTTCACAACATCTTTATAAGCGAGGACCTAGCTCTGGGTCTTAGCCAAAGGGGTGACATTTTCCTGTGGGTCAGTCAAACGGATGTGGCCAGAGTAGAGGAGACGTCTTGGTGCCAAAGGAGTCATTTTGCAGGCCAAAGAGTGAAGATGACCAGAGGGAGGGGACAAGAATACCCAGGGGCAGCCACGGGGATCACAGCAGGCTGGAGGCCCAGGATGGGTGGCGGGGTTCACCTTTCCAGTCCTCTGATTTGGGACAGCTCCCAGAGCTGCAGAAGTACAGGAGCCCCACAGACATGATATGGATGGAGGTGTGGATTCTGTGGCTGACGTTCATGGGGTGGTGTTGATAGAAACGGCTCCCAGGGTCATGTAGCCATTTCTTGGAGAAGACCATGACCAGCAGCAGGATGAAGGCCACAAGGCTGAGCTCTGAGACCAGCATATGCACCGTCCAGCGGGGGCTGTGTGCGATTCTCCATCTCAAGGGCAGTACAGAGCTCCGGCGCAGGCTCACGGGGTGCCTGGGACTGCAGGGAGAAGAGACAGACGACTGCACCTTCTCTTTTTGCTCCAGCCTCACCACCCTTACCCTGCCTCTCAGCCCTCCCCTCTTTCCAGGGCTCCGATGTTGGTTGTTTCTCCTTCTGACCCCGGTGTACTGCCCGGCTCCATCTTCAGCACCCTTCTCTCCTCCTTCCCTTGGTGAGCTCACTTGTCATCCATCTCCTGAAGACTTTCATCAGACAGAGAAGTTTCCAACATAGTCCTAAGGTCTGGGAAAGAACAGCGTTATCTGATTAGGCTCCTGAGCTCCAGACCTAAGAGAAAACTGGCCCCTAACCCATTCAGCCAGGTGGGGCCCAACGGCCATGGAATATTCCTGGGGACCAGTGAGCTGGCGGAGGGGCCCACAGCTTCCATTCCAACTCCTTCTCAAGCCCCAGCCCAGAACTGTGGGTCTGATGCCTGCTCCAGTTTCTGCCTCCCTCTCCCTAAGGTAATGATCTCTAAGGATTCCCTTTCCTCTTCCTGTTTCCTCTGCTCCAACCCTACCCTCAAATGCTCCCTGACGGAGCACATAAGGGACAGAGAGTGTGTCCCCGTCGATTTTGGGACACATCTCCCAAATATGTCATCAGCCTCCCCAACTCCTATACGTCTCTCTCATCTCTGCTCACCTCTGGTCAGCAGTCATCAACCCCTACCACCACCACACACACCTTGGTGTTTTGAGACAAGGTCTTGCTGTGCAGTTCAGGCTGACCTGGAACTCACTATGTCGCCCAGGCTCTCCTCGAACTCACAGTGGTTCTCCTGCCTCAGCCTCCTGAGTGCTAGGATTATGGTGTGCTCCACCACACCAGCTTCCCTTTATTTTTTTGGTACTGGGGATCGAACTCGGGTCCTTGCACAGGCAACGGCACCACTGAGCTAAATCCCCAGCCCTTCCCTCTTGTCTTTATCTTTTTTCTTCCCTTCAGCATCAGAAGAAGGACATGAGTTGGACTATCACACAGACTGAGATAATTCTCCTAATCTTCCCTTTAAATTGTAAGAAAATAAATGAACCACTCATGCCAAGCTGATCACAGCATGGCTGGGCCCCAGGAACCCTTGGGATGAGGGATTTGGACCCCAGAAAGGCTGTTCCTCTGACTGGAGCTGTCCACTTCTCTGCTCCTGTGCCATGATGGGATGTGGGCCCTCACACCCAGAGCTGTACATCTAACACCTATGGCCACCATGCTAGAGATTTCTCAGTCCAGATACTTTCCAGACTTGCCAGAGACAGTTGTTAACCTTAGAACAACCAGCCATGGTCAAAATCCAGGGCCAAGAACCCTGAAGGTGGCAGGGAGGGGACAGTGCAGAAGGAGGAGTGCTGGGCCTATTAGAAAGGTCATTCATATGAAGCCAGAGATCATCAAGGTTTTGAATCCTTCCTAGTTTTTCCTGGAGTTCCTAAGGGTTTCTAATAATAACAAGCAGTTCTTGCAGCACAGCAGAACTACAGGGAAGCATCCTGGAAGTACATTTCCTGAAGGATGCAAGGCTCGGAAGAGTACACTATAAAGGTGATACCATTTTTTATGGAGCTCATAAACAAAAGAAACAAAGCACAGTTTAAGCACACATCCATTTATGATTGCATGATCCTTTTTTAAAAGCAATGAAATAATAAACACAAAATATCATATGGTGGCCACTTCTCAAGGGATCAAAGGAGTGGGACAGGCGGGGTTACACCGCTACATACATGTTATTGATTACAGTCTAGTTCCTAGGTTTGGTGAGAGGTGTATCTTATACTATGATCATTTATATGTAACATAGACATCATGTGATCCCCAAAATACATCACATATTGTTTTCCAAAATGCAATAAAAAATAGTTGAAGAAAGGAAATGTAATCTTAGTGATTATAAACTCAGCAATGAAACGTGTTTATAGAGTCACAATATATAAGGTAAACAGTTTTCAGCGCATTTCAACTCAGTGTCAGCAGCTAGACAAAGCACGGAAGACTCGATTATAGCTGCAGAAGTAAACATAGCAGCCTTGATGTTGCCCAATCAGAACCCTAGAAGAGGTAAACTGGGAAGTGGAAGGAGAAGAGAGCTGAGGAAGGTGGGGAGGTGGTGGGTAAATTCCCTAGCTTCTTTCTCCTAGGTTGGGACAACTCCGAGCATGTCCTACAGAAGAAGCGGGCAAACTTTTCTGTGAAAGTCCAGATGATAAATATTTTAGTCTTTGTGAGTCATATAGTCTCTATTACTACTACTCAGTTCGGCTATAGTAGTGTGAAAGCCATCACAGTCCATATATAAGTGAATTAAGATTGGTCATTCTAATACATAAACCTTTGTTTTATGGGCCAAGCCATGGTTTGCCCGACTTAACACTTTAGGGTCCCCCAGAGTTCCCCAGCAGGACTAAGCTCCAGTTGTCCAGTAGTAACTGGCTTGAAATCCTTTATTCTTTGTCTCACTTCTTCATGCCTTTACTAGTATACACTGAGTCCCCTCCACAGGACTCGCTGGAGTCAAATCTTTGTCTTGAGGTCTGCTTCTGGGGCAACCTGAATGAAGACAGATGAGACCCATTATTGTTTTTCAGAAGCAGAAATAAAAGAGGCTGAGAGGGCCCAGGATTTAGCTCATTGGTTCCACCTCCTGCTTCTCAAGCGCAAGGACCCGAGTTCGATCTCCGGTATAAAAAACAAAAAAAGCAAAAGAGGCTGAGTGATTTGCTCAAAGTCACTAGAAAGTGGTAGAGCCACTATCTGAACACAGAAAGTCTCTGGATATATTCAATGAGCCCTGGAAAATCAGCAGAGAAGGAGGGCAGGGAGACAGTGGTCAGAGGACTTTAATGCCCCCACACAAGGATGGAAGAAATTCCTCAGAGTAGGGGCGAAGACAGAGACAAGCCCTAAGGCCGGGCGTGATGGTGCACACTCAGGAGGCTGAGGCAGGAGGATCGCTGTGAGTTCAAGACCAGCCTGGGCTACATATGAGTTCCAGGTCAGTCTCAACTACAAGGTGAGACCCCGTCTCAAAAAACAAACAAACAAACAAACAAACAAAAAAAAGCAGACAAGCCCTGACACTGCTGCCTGCCGGGGAGGCAGCAAGTGCCCAGGGAGAATCACTATGGTGTTTCAGGTAGATGGGAGCTTGGATGGTTTCCCAGAACAGTCTCACGGCCTGGGGACAGAACAATGAAGCAGCTAAGGGCTACAGATCCACAGGGACCTAGGGACAGAGGCATTGGATATGCTAATCTAACCTGGGAAGAGAGTTGACCAGGGCCTAGGGATGTAGAGGCACAACATCCCCAAACTCTAGGAAATGGGGGTCAGGAATGAGTTGGGTTGTGTTTTCTACTGTAATCATGGTAGAATGAGGATTCTAATTCAAAATACAAGGTGAATTATTAAAAATGAGGATTGTGTGATGTCTTGCATGCCTAAATCTGTGGCTTGAGATTAAATCTTTTGCAAATCTTAAAGAAGTTTCATATACAGAACATGAAGAGGGATGCAGCCAGCCCAATAAAAAGAATATCTCTCTCTCTCTTTCCCTCTCTCCCACTCTCTCTGTCTCTCCCTTCCCTTCTCCTGCTTCCTCTCTCTCTCTCTCCCTCTCTCCCCATCTTCTCCTCACCTTGTCTTGCTGTGTTGCCCAAGCTGGTCTCCAACTCCAGGGCTCAGATGATTCTCCTGCTCCAGACTCCTGAGTGTCTAGGACTTCAGGCACCTGCTATCACAGCTTCCCTTTCCTTGTTACTGGGTATTGAACCCAGGGCTTTCTGTGCGCTTGACAAATACTCTACCACTGAGCTGCATCCCCCAGCCCCATTTTGTTTGCTTTTAATTTTGAGACAGTGTCTCTCTCTGTTGCCCTGGCTGGCCTCAAATTTGAGATCCTTCTGCCTCAGCCTCCCAGAGTGCTGAGGTTATTGACATACACCACTGTACCTGGTTTCCATTTCATTGTGGAGTTATAGGTATATGCCTGGCTGGCTTTTTTTTCCCCTTCAGTACTAGAGATTAAACCCATTACTAAGGATTGTACCAATAAGTATATCACATCACATCAGTGCATTAAGAGTGCAGAGATTCCAGTTCTTTCTACTGCTCGACTGTGGCTATCTTCCTTTCCTAGGATTTCCTGGCTTGACCACTAATCATAATTCTGCAGTGTTTCCAACATTGACTTACAGAATGCATGAGTGAAGTCTCGTGTACTTCATTAAACATTTGACATTTTTTTTACAAAACTGACATTTTATCCTAAAAAAAAAAAAAAAAAAAAGGTACATCACATCCCAAGTGTCATAGTTACTTTTCTCTTGTTGCTGATACCTCACACGCAAAGGTAAAGGGAAAAGAGTCTATTTAGCTCACCGTTTGTAGAGACTTCTGTCCATAACCGGCTGGCTGGAAGGCAGGGTGGCATATGGCAGAAAAGCATCACAGAGGAGAAACTGGTTGTGGCACCCATGTGGTAGCAAAAGCAATGCGGGACCTTAAAAGTGCCTTTCAGGGCCAGGGATTTAGCTCAGTGGTTCTGCTGCCTGCATTGCAAGTACAAGGACCTGAGTTCGATCCCCGGTACAAAAAAAAAAAAAAAAGTGTCTTTCTGCCCCTTCTATCTTATCCAGACTACCAGGATTTGGGCAGTGCCAAACCAATCAGTGTACTGGTTTAGTAATCACACACCCTTAATCCCAGCATCACACACTCTATATTCAAACACTTCTGAAAAAGCCACCTATGACTGCATGAGGCGAGTACATCTAGATCCAAACCATAATACCAAGCCTTTTTAAAACTTTGAGAGCTGGGGATTTAGCTCAGTGGTGCCTCTGTCTACCTCTCAAGTGAAAGATCCCAAGTTCAATCCCCTGTACAAAAAAAAAAAGCTTTGGGTGGGGAATTTAGCTCAGTGGTTTCACCACCTGCCTTGCAAGAACAAGGACCTGAGTTCAATCCCCAGTACCAAAAAGGAAAAAAAAAATTTCTTGAGATAGGTTTTCTAAATTACCCAGGCTAACCTTAAACTTGCAATCCTGCCTCAGCCACCCAAGTAACTGGGATTACATGTGTGTACCACACCTGGCTGTCTTGCACCTTTTTACCACACTCTCCTCATTCCAGAATGCAGGCTAATAGAACAGGTACCACAGGAAAAAGAAAGTGTGCGCCACCGGCTCTTAAAGCTTTCACCTGGCAGGGAAACACATCAGTTCCAATCAA